GTTTCCCTGCGCTGGTCTGTCCAGTCCCTCTGCAGGTATCTTCTAAAGAGTCTTCCCCTCTGAGGCCTAGTCTAGACTGGTTAGGTTGATGTAAGGCAGCTTATGTTGACTTAATGATGTCAGTGTAAACACTACAGCCTTGTCCCACCGATGTAAGTGCCTTACTACACCGACATAATAACTCCACCTCCACGAGAGGCATAGCACTTATGTCAGTGTAGTTAAGGTGACCCAGCGTCTGTGTAGACACTACGTCCCTTCCATCGGCTGTTGGCTGTCTTGTCAACTTAATGGCTCCATGAAAGCCGGGCAGCTAGAACCCAGCTTCCCCCTGGCTTCCCACACTCCAAGTCAGGCTGCTGCCCGGAAGCTCCATGCTTAGGAAGCTGAGAAGCCGGGATGGCTGGCCCCTGCTCCCAGCTGGGAGAGGAGAGGCAAGAAGCCCAGGGGGCAGCTGGGCTCCTGGTGGGGAGCTGCGTGGAGCTAAGAGCACTGCCTGTCAGCCCCCCCCCCCCCCACACACACACACACACTGCCTCTCTTCAGTCAGTGGAAGCGCTCCTGGCGAGGACACGCACCACTGAAAGAAGGAGGGTAGTGTGGACATGCATCACTGCAGTGAGTACTGTGGTGGCTGTAAGTTGGCCTAACGTAGGCCGACTTAGGGCTGTGGTGTAGACATGCCCTGAGTCTCACTCACTTGTAAGGTGTACAGAGGGAGCAAAGGATGGGCTTTAGGGTGATAAGGAGGAAACCCCATTGGATGGAGAAGTCACTATTTATCCTTATTCCTGGAGCAGCAATGGCATTTCTGACATACGCAAGTTGGTGCAGAATGCCACGCTCCCCCCACCAGCCCCTCTGCTGAATGTGAAGAGCAGATGTAAGATAATGCAACCCCCTCACACATGCAGCACTCAACGCCTTGCCACTCCTCTTCCCCCAATCTCTGTGCACCCCTTGCCTCATCACCCCATCCTGGGATCATGTACCTGCCTGAGAAGTTCAGCGGGACTCTATGTGTGTGTTTCTGTCAGGAAGAAAACAAGAGAAGGGTAGATCAAGAAGCTTAGAGGGAGAAAGTCACTCAAAGGGAAAGAGGGCTGGGAGAGAGACAAGGAAACTCAAGATACCATAGGGGAAGAATTGGATTAATTAAAACCAACATCAGCAGACAGACTGCACAACAAGAACCATCTGGAGCAGCTGAGAACCAGGTAAATCCTTTCCTATCTCAACAGGCCCAGGGTAACACCAATTTCTCTCCAGAATGGGCCTTCCAAAACCTTCTGGTTTTGAGTGCTGTGGTTTGCCAGCTGATGTTTGTTTTTGCGGTTGCGAGCATGTACTTAGCGAGGGGATGGTTTAGGGGTCTGAGAATCAGCTAAGGAGCACTCACCGGGCAGAAAGCCCAGTTGAAATCCCAGCAGAGTTGTCTTGGCCCTTTTCTGAGACAGATCATTAGCGTTCCATGCTGTGTGCAAGTGTCTCAGATGCAACCTTAAAAACTGAGCTCATACCCTTGAATATTAAGTGTCTCTCATAATATATTGTAAGAGCCGGGGTTAGCAGTGGGGATGGCTTTTTACAGCCAGACTATCCTTCATTCCCTGTTGTGCAGCATGGTGAGCTCTGGCTGCTTGCTGCCTTCCACCAGAGCTGGTTGCATGTCAGTGCTGGTAGAGCACACAGTGCTTTGGGATGAACAAAACCAGAGAAGCATTACATGGTGTTACCGGGGAGAAAGGAAGGAAGGATGAACATCCTCCCCAGCCTCCTGTGTTGTGGAACCTTGAGGCTATCAGAGCCTTTTGTGATGTCATCGGGCAGGTGGCAGTAGAGTCATGAGAACACAGGGCCAGCCTTGATGCCAGTCCCATCCCACCTGCTGGCTGATGGGCAGTGATGACACTACACACAAACAAATCCCATGTTGCCCAGAAAACCGGGACCTGCTTTCTCTCCCAGGAGGCCCTAGGGAGTGGCTGAGTGAGCTGACCACTGGAGAATCCTTTTAAGGGGAAAATATCCAGAGAGAAATCCCCTGCCAGGGATTGACAGAGTCACACACAACCCCATTGCCCCACACATTGGCCAGAACTGAGGGTGCCGGCACCATTGTATGGGTTGGAACAAGGTAAATACGATCCAGATTTACTTTGTGGTAAAGGTATCCTTACATCAGACAAGAAAAGTAGTTCCTTTTATGTGAGATTGAATGTGAGATTGGATTGTCCTGGGGCTAAATGCCCTCCTTTCCACCTTCTGGAGACTGGGGATATCACAGGAAATTAACAGCTTTCTTTGGGGGAGTAGAGGTGTGAGGGGGCAGTGTCCCAGGCAGGGCTAGATTAAGGCAATTCTAGGCCATAGTAGGCATACCCTTCAGTGGGGCCCTCAAGGCCCCACACTGCTTGGGGTAGTAGTGGCAGGAGCTACCCAAATGAGAATCATGTTCTGGACCGCCACCACTCCCTGTGTTCAGGTAGGCTTCTGCAGTCCATCCCGGGAGGGGAGAGGGCTCAAACCCACCCACACAAGCAGAAGGTACTGTGTGGGGATCTCTGCTGACAATACCCCAGCAGAGCTGTGATGGGGAGGCAGCAGTGAGGGCTCCCCACTACAGCATCCTCTACTGGGGTAGAGTGAGTGAGTAGGGCCCCCACCTGTAGCTGGTTTCAGACTTATCACCCGATTGAGATGCAAGGAGCAGCTCAAACCTCTCTGAATATTGTTTCAGGCTCTCCCGAATCAGGCAGGCGCCACTGCATTGATAACACTCAGCTCACACTGTCAAGGTTTTCGTTCACAACCAGCAGGGCTAGAAACAAAACAGCTGAAATTCGGACTTGAAGAGCTGGGATGCTAGGCACAGGCCTGTAATGCCTATGCTTTAATCTGTCCCTGCCCCCAGAGACAGGTGGTATAAGAAGGGTGGAAGAACCCTGCAGAGGGTTATGCTTTGAGGTCGCAGAGCTTGGAGATGTGGGATGTCTGGCATTGTCTAGACTAGAAAAAGAAATTGTGTTTTAAAAACACATTTGAATTAAGTACTAGTTATAAACATGTTAGTATCTAGTGTAGACAGGGCTTAACACCTTTAAAAGACATCAGCTGGTCATGGCTGACCCTATGTGTTCACTATCTACACTACAGGACATTGAGATGTGTTAAGTGGTATATTTAAAAACCCATGCTTTCCCCCAAGTGTCTGGTAGTCACATGACTGAAATGCTGAGCTCCTGTTTACTGACCACGTTGTGCAATTATTTTCTTGTTTAGCAAACAGTCACGTGGTCCCTGGTGCAGTCAGTGATGGCCTCAGTGCTGGGATCGTTGCAAATTGGTTACCACACAGGAAACATCAATGCCCCACAGGTGGTAAATGTCCAGGAGAAGGAAATGTGGCATGGAGCTTGGAAAATGGGATGCGTGGTGCTGAGGAGCAGAGAGGGACTGACTCCTACAACTAAGTGATAGGAAAACCATACATTAGGCCTCATCTCAGGCCCACCTTGTGAAAGGTGGGCGCTAGCACACTCTGAAAAGCAGGCGAGATTTCAATCAATTTCTTGCATTACAATGAAACATTTATTTAATGTTCACCGTTGCAGGAAAGGATGTAGGTCTGCTCTGAGCAGAGCACGCCTCCACAGAACTCACTTAACAGGACATTCTCTCTGTAGTACTTCTCTGGCCCCAATTGCCATATTTATCTGAGTGCCTCGCAATATTTAATGTCTTTATCCTCACCACCCCTCTGTGAGGCAGGGCAGTGCTATTATCTCCATTTTACAAATGGTGACCTGAGGCAAAGGGAGACTAAGGGACTTGACCAAGGTCACAGAGGAAAACCAGGGACATGAACATAGGTCTTTAAAATCCCAGGTTAGTGTCCTAACTGTTGGACAATCCTTCCTCTTCATTACAGGATATTTTCTTCACTGACGGTGAACTTAGGCCATCAGCTTTAAAAAGCACAGTGTTAATTTATCTTAACATTGTTATCTAGAACAGTACAGCCCACTCCCACCCACCAGGACAGGGTGGTTCCCTACAGTTGTTCTCCAGGGCTTTGTCCAGTCCTTGTTTTAACTATCCCAAGCAATGGGGCTTCCATCTCTTCCCTTGGGGAGACTCTAGTCTCACAAACCCCTCACTGTCAGGAAATGTTTCCTGATGATCCAGTCTGAAATCTTCACACTTGGCTCAGTTTCATCCCATTTGCTTCCTTTGCATCACCCGTCCCTGAACAATTTCTCTGCCTCCTTGGTGTCAACACTTTTCAGTTGCTGAAAGCTGAGGGGGAGTAAAGGGGGGGGGCGGATGTGGAGGAAGATGGAGGGTGAGGGGGTGAAGGCTGAAGGGAATTGAAGGAAGATGGAAGGAGATGGTGAGGAGTAAGAAGGTATGATGAGATGATCGCTCAGAGGGAGCTGCGGAAGGGTGAGGAGGAGTGATGAAGATTGAGTGAAGGAGGGATAGGATGAAGGATGAGGAGAGGAGAATTGAGGCTGATGGAAAGATGAAGACATTGATAAAGTCTGAGGAGAAAGGAAGGTGACTGAGAGAGGAGGATGGAGTTGGAGGGGGAAAGGGGATGAAAGGAAGGAGGGGTAAAGGTGGAGGGAACAGGAAGAAGGAGGATGAAGAGAGAAGGAAAAGATTGGTAAGAAATATGGGGTTGTCCTGAGATGAAGGGGAAGAGACTGAAGGTTGGAGGAAATGAGGAGTGACAGGAATGGAACGAAGGCTGAGCAGAGCTGCGAGCAGTGATGACAATGGCAGATGGCAGCTCGAGTCCCAGCCTGCCTGAGATGCTATCACTGAACTGATCAATGAGGAAGTGAGTGTTTTCACCAGCAAAGCGGAATGCACATTGGGCATAATGTAGGTGCAAGAAAGACTGCTGAGAAGAAGTTGGCATGAATTGTTTCTCTCCTACACAGGTGATTGAGGAGTTCTTCAACTAGACCTGGAAGGAGCGGCTCCAGGAGCCCATGTCTCTCCATGCACTCACCATGCTTTGTTCCTTCACTGTCAGCACCTTGGCTTTGGGGGCCACTGTCTCAGCGCTCACTGTGGGCATAGTGGCTGATCATTATGGAAGGTACATGCAGTGGAACTGTGTTTAATCACCACACAAAGGCAGAGAAAGTGCAGAGTCAATACTAGAGAGGAACAGGGTATTCCCAGAGCAAGTACCAGAATGGTACCAAGTATTTACAGGGGCCATGTCAAAGAGGAGCTGTGTATTTTCAGGGCCTGGGCCAGGGAGAAGACTGGGCATGTTCACAGTCAGAGCCAGTGTCTTTGTGCCAGACTTTAATGTATTCCCTTCCTCCATAACCCACCCTGCTATCTCTTTGCTGTCTCAGGCGCAATTCCATCCTGATTGCTAACTCCCTCTCCCTCATGGCCGTGGCATTCATGGGCGTCTCCAAGATTGCAGGCTCCCTGGAGGCACTGATTGTGGGACGCTTCCTCATTGGACTCTTCTGTGGACTCAACATGACCCTGATTCCCCTTTATATCCAGGAGATATCCCCAACCAGGGTCCGCGGGGCCTTCTCCACCATGAACCAGCTGTCTCAGACAGTGGGCATCTTCGTTGGGCAGGTAAAGAGCTGGCCCTGGACAAGGATTACAACTATAATTTCCACCTAGAATTTCACAGCAAAACTCAGATCCTTCTGCAACAGGGACCAGGCCCCAAGAGAAATAATGGAATTTCTGTTAGCTCCAGCAATGTGAGGGTTTATGACTCATAGGCCTGAGCCCATCAGAACATGAGGTGGGGGAGCAGGGAGGGAGCATGAGGAAGGATATATCCCTCTATAGGACACACTGAATGCCTTTGCAAACCTATGCATCTGAAACAGAGCACTGTTGGTACAGAGGCCTGGCACACCTAGCAGCATGACTCTCATCTCTTGGTCCAGAAAGGTGCTGGGTTTGGGTCCCTCATCCTCAGGGTTTATGACACAGGGCAATGTTGGTGGGACAGAGAAGGCTACTGCCTCCCCCTACTGGGCATGAGATAATGTTCTCTGGAAAGTTTCTCTCTATCTCTTGGTTTCAGATCATGAGCCTGGAGAATGTCTTGGGCACTAGCCGATGGTGGCCACTCATGCTGTCCTTGTCTGCTATACCAGCCATCCTCCAGTACCTCACCCTCCCTTTTTGCCCTGAGAGCCCCCGTTACTTTATCATCAATTGCCACGAAGATGAACTGGCTGCCCGAGGTAAGGCACAAAATGCCCACTAAACCCCCAAAACTGCAGGACTGTGAAACCTAGATCCACAGGCATCAGAGAGATGGGATGTAATGCAGTTGTTCCTTACAGCATATTCTTCAAGCTGTTACCTATTCCCATACATCAGGGCATAACTGATTTCCAGCTTGCTGGAGAGTCAGGAATAAATGCCTTCTCAGAGGACAATATTGCACAATGAGGGAGGGCTTTGTCTTCTTCTGAAGCATCTGGCATGGGCCACAGTCAAAGACAGTTTGTGGGACTTAGGGTGACCAGACAGCAAGTGTGAAAAATTGGGACAGAGGGTGCAGGGTAATAGAAGCCTACATAAGAAAAAGACCCCAAAATCGGGATAGTCCCTATAAAATCGGGACATCTGGTCACCCTATAGGGACTAGAGAGAACTATGGTGTGTTCCTGAATGGCCATGGTTGTGTTTTTATGGGTCATTTGAAACCAGGGACAGTTTCAAAGGCGATCCATGAAAGGTTCAGAGATCTCATTAACTCATTTGGCATTGCAGATCAGTTGTGGAACTGTCTCACTCAGAGCCAGGGAGGATTCCAGGGACACTGTCTAGTTGTTCTTCCTGTTCTCTGGTGCCTTACAGAACTCCAGAGGCTCAGAGGTACCCAGGACGTCTTGGAAGAGATTGAGGAGATGAAGGAAGAAGCAGCCAAACTTAAGGGAACAGAGGATGTCATCATGCTGAGACTATTCATTGTCCCCAGCTACAAGCAGCCCATCCTGATTGCTCTCATTCTTAATGCCAGCAGCCAGCTGTCAGGGTTCAATGCTGTAGATGACCACAGAGGGACCAGAACTTCCAGGGGCAAAGAAAGAGAACAATGATTAAGGGTTCTGTACAGTGTGTGTGTGTGTGGGGGGGCTGAATGCAAATAAAGGGGAATCTCTAGGAGTGGTACAGCCGGCATTCGGGGTGAGCTACCGCTGATTTAAAAGGGGAGGAGCATTTTCTCATCATGTTGCTTTGTGTCTTTTTCTCACAGATAATCAACTATTCCACAAAAATATTCCGTCTAGCTGGTGTTGCCCATCCCACACACACCACCATGGGAATTGGGGCCATTAACATCCTCTTCACAATATTCTCTGTAAGTGAGCTTCACACAGGGCTTTAATTCTCTTTTCTGGCTGTTTGGCTGATAGGCAGTCAGTCTGTCCTGGCAGACGTGCCAGCCAGTGCACAGGGGGCAATCAGAACATAGGACTAGCTCGCCGTATAGAAACAAAACAATGGTCTGTTCATTTTGATATCCCACCTCTTGCCAGATGGGAACAGACCAATAGTTTAGCTAGTCTGAAATCCTGCCTCCTGCTATACCAGATCCACACTGCACCTATCCCGTCTAGTATTCTACATTCTGCCCTACCATATCAGATCCTCTGGTTCATCTAGTCTAGTATCTCACCTCCTTCTAGTCCTGTATTCTACATCCTACCACTCTGAAACACACCAGTTAGCCTGTCTGATCTGTTATCCACCCTCTTTCCATATCAAAACGTATTACTCATCCATCTGTTCCAACGGTCCCGCCTGCCACAGTGACTAGACCAATGGGCTATTCAATCGGGTGGTATCCAGTATCCGACAGAGGCTAATGTTGTGTACTTCATTAGAAGGAATAAAACCCTGTAACAATTTTGCATCACTACATCAGAGTATTGGAGTTGGGGCGGGGGTGAGAAATGTCTTCCTGGCCCACTGCTGGTAAGCAGGCCATGCCCTGAAGCATGTGGGTTGACACCACTAGTAATTTTCACTCATTTACATCAACATATTTTATGCATGTTTCTAAAGTATTTTCTTCAATAATACCCCGGTGAGGCAAGCGCCACAGATTAATTATAATGTATATCCAAAAGTATTTGCTTGTATCCATTTGAAATCTGCTGTCTTTTAGTGCCCTCTTCTTCTTGCATTAAGGAGAAAGGGTATATTGGAACACTCATATAACCTTCTCTCTACCATTCATTATTTATAGTCCTCCATTATATCCTGTCTCACTTTTACCTCTTTCTATAGCTGATCTATAAGGCAAGGTCAAGGCCTGATGAGCAAATGGAATCTTTCATGGTTCTCCACTGAAATTTACCCTGGTTCTAAGTGACCCATTTCCCTGGTTCATCTTTAACACATCATTGGTGCCTGCAAGGTTCATGGTACTGTTCAATGTTTCATCGAGAACATGGGTGTTTATGGGTTAGATCAGTGGTTCCCAAACTGAGCGTGGCAACCCTAAATGGGGTCATGCCATCAGCAGATGTGGTGCGGTGATCCCTAGTGTGTGGAGAACACCATTTTGCTCCACACCGCATGAATTTACATTAGAGTTGCCAGTTTTGGTGGGATGTATTCCTGGAGGTCTCATCACATGACATAATCTTTAATTAAAGATTAATCTTTCATTCCTGGAGACTCCTGGACAATCCTGGAGGATTGGCAACCCTACTTCGCATGCATGGTGCATGCGAGGTCACGATGCATGGAGGATGCCATTTTGAAGAGCAAAATGTCTGGGGTCCTGGGAAGAAATAATTAATTAAAATGTGGTCATGCCAGTAAAAAGTTTGGAACCCCTGAGTTAGATGCTTAGTACAATTGTGCAAGGGCTAAAATAAAATAGCAGAAAGAACCTCAGGACAGGACTGTATGAAGGTTCTTCTCTTTCCTTTCCAGGTCTTCCTTGTAGAGAGACTAGGCCGGAGGAGCCTGCTCATGTTTGGCCAGTTTGTTATGGCTTTATGCAATATGCTGCTCACCCTTTCCATTGCTACGTTGGTAAGTCGGTACCCTTGCATTCTTCTGGGTTTAAACAAATGAAGCCATGTTCCACCTTCCATCACCACAGCCTAGTGTCGACGGTGCTGTGCTACTGGGGATGTTGCTCTTCATTTTCTTAAAATAAAAGCATGGCGTTAGGAGTTAACCACACTACTGGAGGTGGTGTCTTTCCTATCCTACTTTGACTTGCTCCATTCCCAGGACTACAGCATGGATTTAGGAGGAGCTAATTTGCTGGAGGTGCCATTCTTCATAGTCTCCAGCTGCCAGTGTCCCAGCATGGAGTGTAGTGGTTTGTTGTGCTGCTGGAATAGCCTTCCTTAATAACCAGGCCATTCTGCATCCCCTAGCACCTTAACATGGCAGCAGGGATGTATGATGCTGCTAGAGGTGCTGTCCTTCATATACTAGCTATGCACACTCTCACAATTCCACCCCTCCACACCACACACACACACACAGCAGTAGGGGATGCTGTCCTCCTGCCCTTCATAGCCTATAGCATAGACCATCTTCCCAAACCTACCAGGGTACTGGGGGACCCCAAAGTGCTTTTTTTTTTTTAAATTGTAGTCAATAAATTTGTTTAACTGTTTATCTTTATTGGTGAGTTTGCCCAAAGTGTTTGGTAAATTTGTTCAGTTTTACAAAGGCTGGTGTATACCCACTTTCCATTTGTACATATTGAGGTTCAGGAAGTGGGCGGGCATAAGCCCGCCCACTGCTAAAGGGTCCCCCCCCCCCGGCCTAAGGGGAGGATCCACAGGGCCTGAATCTCAAATAATTACGGGGGACAACTAATGTAAAAACAGGGACAGGAGTGCGGTCAAAGGGTCAAAAGAAGGGAACCTGACGGGGACACCGAGCAGAGAACCCCGGACAGCGCCCACTGCTCCTCAAAGGTGTCAAGGGAGCCAGTGGACGCCGCTCAGAGGAACTCTGCCCGGATACGTGAATGGACAAAGGATCGGAAACAGGCCCCACAGTCACAGGAACCGCCATCGGCCAACCTCCTCTCCCTGGTTTTATAGATGGCTTGTTTAGCCAGGGCCAAGAGGAAGTTGACCAGGAGGTCCCGTGACTTTGTGGGACCACGGATAGGGAGTGCGTATATAAGAAGGTGAGGGGAAAAGTGCAACCAAAACCGCAACATAATATTGGTAAGGAGCCGGTGTAGGGGCTGCAACCTGGCGCACTCCAAGTAAACGTGAGCCAGGGTCTCCCTCACGCTGCAGAAAGGTCAGGTGTCTGGGACAGGGGTAAACCGCGCCAAGTACACGCCCGTGCTCACGGCCCCATGAAGGAGCCGCCAGCTGATATCCCCGGCGGGCCTCGAGACCAGGGTGGAATATAGGCTGACCCACCGGGGCTCCTCACCCTCAACAGGTGGTAGGAGGTCCCGCCATTTTGTATCGGGGCGGGACACGAGGGTGAGGAAGTGAAGGGTGTGGAGCACGAGCGTGTATAGATGTTTCCTTGGCGCAGTCAGGAAATGAACCGGCTGCAAATCGTGCAGCTGGCTCACGGAGAAGGGGCGGAGGCCAGTGAGACAGTATGTCTAGTGGCTAGAGTGAGGGAAGTGGGTGGTGCTCATCTAATTGTTAGAGCCTGGGTTAAGAAATAAACATGGCTACTGATTAGAGCAGGGCACAAAAAGGAAATGCTGGGGAAAGGCAGTTAGTACCGAAGGAAATGGGAGGTATTTGTCTGGTAGAAGAAGGGGCAGGTCAGCAGCATGTTTAGGGATTAGAGAAGAGAACAAGACAGTTCATCCAGTGCTCAGCTAGGGAGAGGGAAGCTTAATTAGACAACGATCAGAGTAAAGGACTTGGAGGCACTGTGTGTAGAGCTAAGAGCACAAGACAGGGCAAGGGTAGGCTGAGGGCAGGATGTGCTACTACTTAGAGCAGGAAAAAGGATGGAGTGTTGTCTGTTGAATAGAGCAGGGTTTGGGAACCAGCTCTGCCACAGATTTGCTGAGTGAACTTCGCTTCAGTTTCCCCTTCTATAACTGGGGAGAATGAGTCTGTCCTGGGGAAGGCTGTGAGAATGCCTGTATAACACCCTCAGCTCTTCAGATCCAAGGGACAAAGCAATACAATGAATGGCAATTTGCATGGTGGGGCAGGGCACTGGTGTATTTCAGTTCTTCCCATCTCTCTGCATTTGCGTACACAGGGTGAAGTGACATGGACAAAATACTTTCTCATCTTGGCCCTTTTCACCATGGTGGCATTCTATGAGATTGGTCCTGGTCCCATATCTTGGTATATCACAGCAGAGCTCTTCAGCCAATCAGCGCGTCCTGTCGCCATGGGGCTCACCAGTAGTTGGAACTGGTTTCATAAATTCATCGTAGCCACGTTCTATCAGCCGCTCCTGGTAAGGGATATGGATATAAGGATCGCCGGGGTGACCTTTGCCGGTTTCCAGTGAGAACTCCAGAGACAGCAAACTACGCTTGCACCACAAAGCACTCAAGCAGTGTCCTCAAACTTGGTATATGCAGCCCTCTCATGGGCTTGAATCTCTTTGCACAGAATACGATAACTCCCATTGGCTTCTGAGGGAGTTACTCGTCTTCTGCAGTCAGAGAGAAGGGTCGTCTGCCAAATAGAAGCTCTTAAAGGACCCACAACAGAAATCTGATAAGCACACATTGCCTTCACACACCTCCATCCCCAGGCCTCATCAGCCTTAACCTCCAGAGCCAGGGCATGCATGATATTGCTCACAAATGAAAAACACTCAGAACACTACACCAAACCTTGAAGATTGTAAATGCTGCTGATTGGGAAGAACAGCTCAGCATACAAAAGAAACTCAAAGTATAAATCCCAGCACAGAAGCAGATTACCTAACTAGAGCAAGATGTGCAAAACACAGGCAGACTCTTACCACAGGCAGAGGGTCTGTCTTCTCTAAAGCTGTGTCTACACTGCCACTTTCAGCGCTAAAACTTTAGTTGTTCAGGGGTGTGAAAAAACACCCCCCTGAGCGACAAAAGTTTTAGCGCTGAAAAGCACCAATATAGACAGCCCTTGAGAACCGCGCTCCTGGCAGTAAAGCTAGCACCCCTCATTCGGGGTGGTTATTTTTTATGGCCAGGAGAGCTCTCTCTCAGCAATAAAGCGTGCCCTCGTCATTAAGATAAAAGGTGCCCTCGTCATTAAGATAAAAGGTGAATTCTTAATTTGAGTAAGCTAACCCAAGGTAAAATCCTCCTGAACAGAGCTGGGTGAAACATTTTCGATGGAACAGATTTCCATTGGAAAATTCAGTTTCATCTAAATCAAAATGTTTTGTCGGAAAATACAGAGACAAAGTGGATGAGGTCATATTTTTTATTGAACCAACAACTTCTTCTGGTGAAAGAGAAGCTTTTGAGTTACGCAGAGCTCTTCTCCAGGAGACCAACACAATTACAACAACACTGCAAACAACAATTCTCAGAAATTCTCGATTTCAGCAATATTTTGGAAGGGAAACTGTCGAAACAAGTAATTTTGAAATTTTTGTTTGATTTCGATAATGCTGAAATGTTCTTTTTAATAATGTCGAAACATTTCCTTTCAACAAGATATTTATCATTTCATTTCAACTTTTATATTGTATTGTATTACTAATTTTAATACTATAATGCTTAGATGTTGTTGAAACAAAATGATTCAACATTATCAAAATGAAACTTTTTGATGTTTCTGAATTGAAATTTTTGAGAATTTCCATTCTGCGACAAATTTCAATTTTTTTCTTCCGATTTGGAACAAAAACCAATTTCAAAATGTTATAATTTCCCCCGGGACAGAAATTCCATCTCCCAACCAGTTCTGCCAGTAAAGACAAGACAATCTGTAGTGTACACACTAATTAGCAAGTCAAGGTAAACCTTAGGCTCCCCCGTAGTCTTTTAACTCAACCTGCTGACTCATGTGAAAATTACAGTCTGCCTTGTCTTCCCTAGGATTTTTCCTCATGTTAGCTAACTGGAGTTCAGAATGCATCCTTTTTCTTCATTGAGACAAAGCCAAAACCAATTATTACAAATTAGAGCTAGAGACTGGGGAGCTGTAAGACCCAAGGGAATCCTGAGGAAGACTGACTGCAGTCACTGTGATGGGAGAAACTGAGACATTTCCTGCATCTTTAAATGTCAAGTGCCAGAAAGCTGCTTCCTTGAGCTATGAGAAGCAGGGACAGACTTTCCACTCAGAAGAGAGGCAGGAAAGCACTGTAAAAAAAAAGAATGTGAGGGCAGGAAAAGGATCACAGTATGGCCAGCTGCCACTGAATCAGAGCTGGATGCTATAAAATCACATTTGCACAGAAAAGGATGCCACGTACACAGGATACCTGATGTATTAACTGTCTTTGGCAGCGCTTAGATGCATGCTCATGCCAATAAAACTATCGAAATTTACAGAAGGAGAAGCTTTGGGTCTGACTCACCACTGCCCTGCCCCTTGTGTTGTCCTTTACCCCAGTGCAATGTGGGTGTGAAATAGGAGCAGAATGGTAGCGTTTTACACCCACTTTGCACTGATATAAATGACTGCACAAGGTGCAGGGTGATTGATAAGCAGGCCCTATATTGCTTGTGGCTAATGGAGATTCTCCATTAGTCCATGTACTCAGACACTGAGCTTTTGGAACAGGAGGGTCTGAGATCCGTCCTGGAGTGGGGGTATGTTATAATATACAACCCATTACCACTATGAAACCGGTATGGAGTGGGGGGCTCATCATTCCCTTGGGAGCATAAAGTGCACAGGGAGAAAGATCCGCCCCAAATGTGCACTGCAACAAAGTAAGGCAAGTTGTACCCAATCATGCCTCGTGAATGTGGCTCACAGCTGAGCTCCAGGCCTGGGTAAGGAGGGAGGAAGGGATCTGAGGAACCAGACAGTGCCACAGTCCCCCTGCTGGCAGGCTTGTTGCAAGCCAGGCACTGATTGCAGTCTGGGACACAGACACAGGGCCACTGTGCCCTGGGAGGTGTGGTCAGCTGGCATGAGATGCTCATGCTCATGGGCCTGGCCAATATAGGAGAAGGGAGTGAGTCCCACCGAGATACTTCTGAATGGGCTGGTATAGCACAGGGCCATGCCCCTGTCCGGCCAGCCACTTTCTCCTTGCAACTGGGGTGTGGATCCCAGCAGCCGAGCCCTGGCTGTGGACCCTGCTTGGTGAGTGAAGCAAGTCCTGAGCACAGACATACCCAGCAGCCATACACACCATACCCTGATAGGCTTCTGTGCCAGGGGGGTCACTGGCCTGAGGGCCCCATTGCTCATTATTTCTAAAGCACTTGTGACCTGCTTTAATGTGTGTGTAATGCAGTGCCCCAGGGCAGGGTATCAGCAGCAGGGACTGAACCTGGATCTCTAGATCATAATACGTGAGCTTCTACTGCTTGATCTAAACGAGCTAAGGCAGTACAGGATAGGCAGCTCATCCACTTCAGCCTGAGGCCCAGTCACCACTAGGGGGAGACAGAGAGCCACAGTGAATGGGTTACATACAGTTTCCTCCCCCTGGAGTTGTATGCTGGGGCTGGGGATGGGTGTCCTTTCCCTGCGTACTCCCCAGGCTTGTAGAGCCAGATCTACCCTGGTTTCTGGAATGCCTGTCCCTACACTCCATAGGAGCCAGCAGTGCTCCTGCAAAGATCATAGGGCCCCTGATGTACTGTGCCTACTTTTGCAGCACTTGTAACCCTTCCCTCCCGGTGCTAATAGAGGTACTGACATTGAGAGAAAAAAGCGAGAGGAGGGGGAGAAGGGGGGAAGGAATAGAGAATAAAGCAATGGAGAGTTAAGTAGACTACAGCACCCTCTTCCTCCCTTCCCTTCCTTTCATGTCCCAGGGGCCTGGGGATGTATGGTACCTTGCTAACCTGTTCTCCTCCCTTCCCTTCCCAGCACCTGGTGGGCCCCTATGTCTTCCTGCTCTTCACAGGCTTCCTGGTGGTGGCTGTTCTCTACACCTACTTCCGAGTGCCGGAGACCACGGGCTGCACCTTCAAAGAGGTGGCCGCCGAGTTCCGCCAGGCCGACGCCATCCTCACCAGCTGCTTTTAGGGGGTGGGACGGATGGACCAAGAGGGCCCAGGCCATTTTGAAGAGCCTGGCAGACATGGCCTTTGCAGCCTCACTCCTGTCCTATCCCCCCAGTCACAGCCCTTTCTGCAGCCCCCCGCTGCAGGTTTCCACATTTTTACCCTCCCCCAGTAACTCCTTTACACCTCCCTCGGCCACCTCCCTGGGGCAGCTTTACATACACACAGTACAAGGAGCCATGGTGCTAGTGCAGTGGCTCCTTACCAGGCCCCCAGCTCCCTTAAAGCATTGGGAACAGGATGGGAGGCAAGAGGGAATTCACATCCCAGCTTCCCGTCTGCCACTCTAGTGTGGGGCGGTCCCTGCCCATTCCACCCCTGGACCTCCCCCCATTTCTTCCCCTTCCCTCACTCCTACCTGCTTCACAAATTCCCTCCCCCAGTTTCTCCCGTACCCTGCCGAACACCCCTCCCAACCTCTCTGGAGCTCCCAACTCCTACATTCACCCCATGCCCTTGGGGTTCCCCTTTCCCTTCTCCGTATTGCCCCACCACCAACCACTATTTCCTCTCCCCCTCCCTGAGCTCCAACCCACTTCTCTTGCCCAGTCTGTGCCTTCTCGATCCCCCACTTCCATCCTTTTCTGATCTCCTTTATTCCCACTCCCTTTCACCAGCCTCAGTTTCTCTTCAGGCCTAGGAAGTGGCTGGGTGGAAAATGCCAGGGGGAGGCTGTGTGCAAACAGCTCAGGGGTTTCAGAATGCACACAGTGGCATGACATTGACATTGCATGGGTTACCAGGGAAAGGTGTGAATCCCATTTCTCCCCTCCCCTTTTCCCCCAAATTGTGTCCATGGATTCCTCTGTCCTAAGGGAGGTCATGGAGGGCAAGAGTGTGTCCCCTTGTAGCCCATGCCAAGCCCTGTGCAGCTGGGTGACTACAACAGAGAGGAGCCTCTCGCTGTAATCCCCTCATGCTTAGAGTGCCCTGGGCTCACTGGAGATGGTGGGTGCAGTGGCCCTGCCGTTGTATTTACTGTACTATGTTAAATGGGGAAATGAGCTGATGTTAAAGTTTGTTTTAGGCCTGGTCTACACTATGACTTTAATTCGGATTTAGCTGCGTTAATCCGAATTAACCCTTCACCCGTCCACACTACAGAGCCAGTTAATTCGAATTAAAGGGCGCTTTAAATCAATTTCTGTACTCCACCTCGACGAACGGAGTAGCATCAAAATCGATTTTGTTAATTCGAATTAGGGTTAGTGTGGCCGCACACCACCGAATTAATGTGATTAAAATAAATGGGGTAGTGTGGCCGCACACCACCGAATTAATGTGGTTAAAAACCGAATTAATGTGCTTAGTGTGGCCGTGCACAATCGAATTTATACAACCTGTTTCCCAAATTCGAATTATCTAAATTCGGATTAATCCTGTAGTGTAGACATACCCTTAGTCTGTGTATGAAGCAGTGTGCTGGGGTGGCACCTGGAGGTCAGAGAGGTGCATTACATGGGTGTGGCCCCTGTGCAAAACTCCAGGCTGTTCCCCATTTTGAAAAGATGCAATGGGTGGTGAAGGGTGATGTGACTGCCAGGGGAGTGTTCTCCATAAAGACCCCCAGGCTCTGACCTGTGTTTACAGGTGAGGAGAATTCCAGGGCTGTGTTTGCTGTGGAGATCCCAGCTGATATACCGCTAGTGCAGATCCACACACAGATATGCTTATTCTTCAACAGACAAAATGGTATTTCTTCATTTTTGTTCAAATAAATGTATACGTTTTGAAATCCTTGACTTGTTGTTCCTCCACCTTGGGAGCTTTGCGAACTCCTAGCATGGCCCATGTTAGCCGGCTCTTAGCCAAAGTCAGCATAATTAGTCTCTCCTCATAAATAATTCCCTTTTGGGCTATGGATCAGTTTTGTTGCTCTTCTCTGAACTCTCTCCAGTTTGTCTGCTAAGGGGGTGCTGGGAGCTGAACACCAGGCTCCACAGGCACTAACACCAGAGCTATATCGAGGGGGGCTTAGCCCCTCCTCTGTGCATGCCACCCAAACCTGCACTGGCATTAAGCAGCCGTATCCCACTCGAAACACATCTAATTTGCTCACTACTCTCGCCTTTCAGCATCCTGGCTTCCTAGGTTTCTCCCTCCCCTTGAGTGTGTTGTAGGTAAGTATCATATCCCACCCCCTTCCCTGTCTTGGTTTGGCCCAGCTACAGATATTTAGCTCTTAATTTGTTTTCTCTCTCACAGATCTTGACTCCATCCCCTCAAAGTGCAGTGCCACACTGAAAAGTGACTATATAGACACCTGGCCCTAAATTCAGCAGCTCTGCTCCCTGTGTGTATTCACCATGAGAGCTACTGGCTTTAGTGACAAGCGTATTTTTGGACAGCTTTCTGTTGCCTGTTTGCTCTGCAGAGCAAGACAGCTCAGAGAGAGGAAGCTGTGGGACATTAACAGAATTGTTTATGAGGTTCCAATCTGTGACACCCGTTCACACCCATTGACGACACTGAAGTTTCACAAGTGTCACAGAGGCCATTGATTGCCCTGCAGAATCCTTTATTACTGGTGATGACATGGGAGAAGGCTAGAGGCTAGTTTGACTTTCAGGCCAGGTCTATGCTTTGCCCTGTTGGTCAGGGGTGTGATCCCTGATCAAGACAGCTGTGCTAGCAAAACCTACTAGTGTACCAGCAAATGTGTGCTTTTACTGGTATAGCTTGTTTCACAGGTGGGGGTGATTTTGCAATACCAGTACTAAGCTATAGCTACCTCTAGACTAGGAGCACTTTGTGGCTGTAGTGTACTGGTATTCCCATACTGGTGAAACACTCCTAGCATAGACACAGCCTCAGGCTTGTCCATGTTACAAAACTGTACTGCATTTGAACAAGGTTATGAAGAACTTGAATTAACTAAAGTGATGCTGAAACCAATTTGCCTTGATCTGAGCTGATTACACACTGGTGGTTAGCACAGTGTCAGCTAACTTGATGCTCTCTTCCTGGGTTCGCACATGATTTTGTTGTGTGGGCAAACCCTCAGAGCCCAGGCTGAGTGTGCAGGGCCGGTGGTAAGAAAAATCCCCCTTTAATTGTAAACGTAGCACTAGATACAAACACCAAGGAAAGACCATAAACATGGGCTCCTATTAGTCTGTGTTTACAGTTCCTTGGTAGAGAAGAACTGCCCTCTAATTGTGTTTGTTGCTCTTTTCTGAGCGCCTTTATTCAAGCAATGCCCAGAAAATTGAACACAGTACTCTGTGTGACCTCACCGCAGCTGTGCATAATCTCACCCCTTTGCTCTGAGATGGGCTCCTTCTGCCTATGCAACCTAACATTTCTTCCTAATCGTAGGTGCAGCACTTACTGTATAACCTTGGGCAAGTCATTTAGCCTCTTTATGCCTCAATTTCCTTCAATCTGTAAAATTGGGATAATTTATGTGTATTTTTGTAAAGTGCTTTGAGATCTATTGATGACAGCTGTACAAGTGTAAAGTATTATTACTATTTCGTTCATTAGATTTATAATTATCATTTGCACACACACATCTATTTTGCTGCCCATCCTCTAGGTCTCTTTCACCATCACTGCTTTCTAGAGGTCTCCCTCCCTCCCAGATGTATTAGATCCGATGAAGTGGGTTTTAGCCCCACGAAAGCTTATGCTCTAATAAATTTGTTAGTCTCTAAGGTGCCACAAGTACTCCTGTTCTTTTTGTTTTTCCCAGCTGAATCTGGTGTTATTTTCAGCCCCATCTCTTGTCTTTCTGCATCCCTTTTTGTATTGTTTCTTTGTGCTGCCTGGTATTTGCAACGCCCTCCTACGTTAGTAGCATCTGTGAATTACACAGCTCTGGGACTGTGATTCCTCTGTGTATACAGCACCCCAGAATCACATGGGCTTTTGTGCTGTTGTTGTTGCCAAGTGAACGTGACACTCGGAAGGAGAGAGAGGCTGGGAAAAATGCTCTGATGCTTTGACCCTGAGGCATTGAGATTTGCTCCTTTGATATCAGATCAGAGCCCTGCTATGAGAGCAGGAGACATAATTCCTAGCACATTTGGTCTGGGGGACTCCCAGATACCAGAGTTGGAGACTGAAACAGGGGAGGGAGCCTAGCACACCACATTCTTCTCTCACTCTTAAATATGTGAAGGTGTTGGGGGGATTTGATCCTCCAGGGCTTGTTAACCCTCAGGATACATTTGTCTGCAATACACTGAATGGAGGAACTGTAGGCTGGTCTCAGAGCCCCCCTCTTTCTTTTCCTGCCCTGCCAAGAGACCCCCTTATCTTATCACTCCAGAAGTGCCTCAGCATGACTTCCCTGCTCCCTCACTCTGCTCTTCAGTTCCTGACTGAACTGCATGCCAGATCTTCCTTAACACCCCCCCCCTTCTCTGCACTAGCAGCCAGGTGCCCCTCTCTGACATGCACCCCTTGCCAGCTGGTCTGGAGGCAGGAGAAGGGGGGAGCATGGTGGGTGTCCAATAACAGGGAGGTGAAAAGTGTGGGGAGCATATTGTGGTGCTCAGCTACCATGGGCAGAAGCCAGATTAGTTGGATGAAGCAGTCAGCGAGGTAGCCAGAAGGTGAATGCCATGGAGAGCATATGTGGGGATCTTGTGTTTGAAGGGCCAATTGAGGTTTTCAGAAATAGAGAAGTGGGTTATTTAGGAAGTGCACAGAGACCAGGAAGGGTGGATCAATTGGAGAACAAGAGGGAGAGCTGGGGAGAGTTCAAACCTGGGGGTGTGCATGCTGCCATTTGGAGAGGGTTTTTAAAACAGCAGAGAAATGAGTCATACCAGGATCAGGGAGGGTCTCCAGCTGTGGAGAAAATCTGGTGGGTGGAGAACATAAGGTGACTGATTTCTGACTCGCCCTTTCGCTAATGGCCACCATTCCCAATCCACTAGTGTCCCCTCCCCAAACAACCTGCCAAACCCCTAATCACAGCCCGTTTGCAGGTTCCATTGAGCTGTGCATTTCCCA